TGGAGGGCGAAGATGCACCTGACCCAAGCTCTGATATTTTCACTTGCCTCATATACTTGTGAGAGTTGCACATTGAAGAAGGAAGAATGAAGAAGAATTGGTGCCTTTGAGTTACGGTGCTGGAGAAGGATATGGAAGGTGCGACGGACTGCTCAAAGGACAATCTGACCTGTCTTGGAAGATGTATGGCCAGAGTGTCCTTCAGAGGCAAGGATAGCAAGACTTAGTGAGACATAGTTTGGACACATTGTCAGGAGACACCAGTTCTGTTGTGCGCATGGTTGCTGTGGGTTGGTACCAACTCGATGGCACAAACCACAACAACTTACCAAGATTAATATCATGATCCTCATGATACATTCAAAGGACCTGAGATGAAATCTTTTTATCTGTGCTTCTAAGGAGCATTCTTAAGATACTTCCTTCAACACAGATTTGTTCATTCTTTCGAAGGTTTATGGAATAATCTATATTCCTTGGCAACACCACACTTGAAATGTGGCAGTTATCCTTCAAACCTTTCTTGTGCATCGTCTGGTTTTGTAGATTTATGAGGAGCTTGAATGTAGCAAGACATAGGTCAGGCAACGGTGAGTCTTCAAAGTGACATTTTTAACACGTAGGAAATCTTTCGTTACTCAATTTGTTTGATTTTTTTTTTACTGCTGCTTTCATAGGCATTGATTGTTGAACCACAAAAATAAAATTCTTCTCCAATTTCACTTTCTTTGCCATCTGTTGTGATTTTGTTCATTGGCCCATTTTAAGGGTTTCCATTTTTTAATATTGAGGAGTAACCCATGCTGTTATAGTTGCTTTCCTCAATAATTTCTCCATGGCATCTTTATTTTCTGCAAGCGAAGTTTGTGTCACTTGCACACCTACCTTGTTAGTGAGCCTTTCTCCAATCTTGATACGTCATGCAGTATTTTTCTTTATACAGCTGAATTTCTCCAGTTACTTATTCATCATATAGATCATAGGTTCTGAAACGAATTTGACCAACTGCCCTCTTTTCAGAAAAAAAATTAGTCAGTCCTCCCCTGGCAATGACAATCTATTGTACTATAGCTCATAATCAAGGACAAAGTGGAGGTACCTGTGTTTGCAGCCCCTTAGAGCATTTCAGCCCCCTCAGCAGGTGGTCTCCTACACTTTGAACAACAGTGACAAAGACGTCAGGCAAAAGGGCGCAGCCCTGATGCACACTTGTCCTGGTTTTAAACCATTAGTACCTCTTTGCTGTGTTTGAATAATTGCTCTTGATCTACATACAAGTTCACGTGAGCATGCTTAAGTGTTCCAGAATTCCCATTCTTTGCAATATAGTCTATAATTTGTTATGATCCCCAAACACCTTTGTGTCATTGATAAAAGAAAGATAAATATTTTCTAGTACCTCTGCTTTCTGCTTAGATCCATCTGATAGCATCAATGTTTTATGTTCCTTCCTGAATTTGGCTTGAGCTTCTGACAGGTCCCTGTCAATATATGACTGTAGGCATATTTGAATTATCTTATGAAAACGTTGCTTGCATGTGATATTAATGATATTATTAGATATTTTCCACATTCATTGGAATGGACATGAGTAATATAGATGTCTTCCAGATGGTTGGTAATGTAGTGTCTAAATTTTTGAAGCATCTCAATTGTTATTCCATCAATTCCTATTAAATATTATTATTTGCTAATATCTTTAGAGTGGCTTTTAGGAGCCCTGGTGGTATAGTTGGTTACATGTGAGTTGAAAACTATAGGGTCAGCAGTTTGAAACCACTAGCTACTCTGTGGGAGAAAGATGAGGCTGTCTAAAAAGTTACAGTCTCAGAAACCCATCCTGTTGTGTCCTGACCGGGAGGGTTGCTATGAGTCAGAATTGACTCAATGGTCCCGAGTTTGTGTTTTGATTAGTAGGGCTTGTACTTCTTTCTTCATTGCCAGTGGCTCTTGGCCATATGCTGTCTCCTGCAGTGGTTGAATCAAGTCTCTTTTGGGACTCTGTGTATTTCTTCTATGTCCTTTTGATGCTGTCTGTCCCATTCACCCTTTCTGCCCATAGAATCCTTGATTATGGTAACACAAGGCTTGGGTTATTTTTTCATTTTCCTCAGTCTGAGAACTATCCATTGTGTATTTCTATTTTGGTTTTCTCACTTCAGTTTCTTGCACATCTCACTAGAGTACTTTGCCATGTTTTCACGGGCCGCATGCATTTTCAAATATTCTTTTCACCTGTTTTCCTTCACAAATTTACTGCATGATAAAATAATTTAGATTAAAGCCTGGTCGATCTTGTAAGCTTGTTAAAGACACAAAATTTTTATGAGCATGGCCTTCACATACAACAAATGTATTGCTTAATATAATGCAGAATTATGCTAAAAGGTGACTCGTGTAACTCAAGAGACGGAGGAAGCCTCCAAATTCTTCATGATATTTCGTTCTCTACGTCCCTTCTATCCTAACTCAGAGCAGAGGTTTTATGATGGGCCAGGAATAGAGAAATCCAGAGTACCACAGGTATTCTGGTGGTATGTTGTGCCCACAGCAAAAACTGCTGGTTGCTGGAATTCCGTGAGGAAATATGAAGGTCCAAGATAGTCAGTCATTCAGCCAAAAACGATGCAGAACACACTGTACACAAAGTGGACATGCCACATATCTCACAATGTATCAGAGTGGCAAAAAGGAAACATGTGTATTTTACGGAGATTTTTACTTTTCATGGGATGGGGGAGGGTGTTCATACACTATACACACACACACACACACACACACACATCCATACATTGTCGTTTGACCTGTGATGAAGTGAACTATGAAGGAAAATGAAGCAAGTAGAAGAGACAGAGCGTGGTCAAGGAAGGCCTTCACTGGTTGGACGCCTGTGAGTGAACAGACAGCTCATTATAAGCAGACATGAGTGAAGTCAGTTGATAATTGATTGAAGTTATAGAGTGGGAAAAACTTCCCAGGCTTTGGAATGAGAGTCACTTGTTCATCTAACCTTGTTAAGTGGGACGATTAGGGACTGTGACAAACACATAATTTCGTATTCCCTGGTGCTGCAAAAGGAACCCTGGTGGCAAAGTGATAACCACACAGTCAGCAATCTGAAACTACCAACTGCTTCACAGAGAAAGACAAGGCTGTCCACTCCTGCAAAGAGGGACCGTCTCAGAAACCCACAGGGGCAGTTCTACCTTGTCCTATAGAATCTCTACGAATAGTCATCGACTCCATGGCAACGAGAGCCTTCTGCCAAAGAGCTGGTGTGGGAGGTGACATATTTGGCTGCTGCCTGCAAAATCAACGGTTCAAAACCACCAGCCAGGAGAAAGATGAGGATGCCTGCTCCTGTAAAGATTTATAGCCTCGGGTGCATAAGCAACTGTGGCGGAGAAAGCTGATGGTGCTCGGCTATTAAAAGATATAGCATCTGGGGTCTTAAAGGCTTGAAGGTAAACAAGCAACCATCTAGCTCAGAAGCAACAAAGCCCACATGCAAGAAGCACACCAGCCTGTGCGATCACGAGGTGTCGAAGGGATCAGGTATCAGGCATCATCA